ACCAAATCCCTTAAGATCACATTGGTAATATCATCTGATGCTCACATATGTTCCAGGCTCAGTTCTTGTCCAGACACATCACATGGTTCCTTTCTTCCCAGAGTCCCTGCAGAAACCCACAGGTCCCAAGTGACTTGTTATCTTAAGTTCCTCTTCTCCCAGTCACACTTGGAAAGAACATCACACTCAAGTGCAATTTCCTCCGCACCCTTGGTGACTGTGTCTTAAATCTTCAGGAATTAGTGTTGTGGACGAGAGTGGGGAATAGAAACAAATGGACGTTCTTCCATCTCTAAGTTTAGTGAAAACACTGTAGTCCTTTGCTGTACCTAAGGGGTTATTGCGGTGGGGTAAGAGATTTCAAAGTCCTCCATCCACAAATATGCACCAAGTGCCTGCTTGGTATGTGAGTGGCAGGGTCCTGCGCTATGAGAATGCTGTGGTCAAGACACAGCCAGTCTCTACTGCTTGAGGTAGCGGGAAAGATCACATCTCTTGTCCTCCCTGGCCTCTACTTGATTTTTGGAGTGTTGGTAGTTATACCAAGGAGGTGAAAAGCAAAATAAAAGTGGGAGGAAGGGGTGGGAGGATGGAGAGAATCTGGTTAGCTTTATATTAACAATCTTATTTTTGTTCATTAAAATAACTAATTTTAATTTATGTATACATTTGTATATAAAATTTTCTTCCCCAATTTGAAAAAAAAATAAGAATGAACTTAATTCTTAGAGTAAAGGAGACAGCTTTACTGTGGATTTTCCCCTTAATTCATACTGGGAAAATGCACTCAGCTGTGCTAAGAATTAGCCATTCTAGTGCAAAAGAGTAGAGAAACATCACATGCTAATCTCCACCCACCTCTTGTTCTCAACCATGCTAAGTACTTTTTCAATCAAGGGACTGATTTGGCTTGCTCGAAGTTCAACTTAGTAATGTAAACGCTGACATGAAAACTGGATTACGAATCATTGCAGCTTGACATTGGGTAAAATAAAACATGAATTCATTTGTGGTCTCATCAGGAGCATTTATGAAATTGGGTTTTGTGTGACAGTCTGTGCAAGCATCGCCTATGTCCAAATGAATAGCAAATTTCTTCATAAAGAAAACAATTAGTGTTAAATTGTCTGTTCCATTATGTAGGCACAATCTACTAGGACAGAGATTTCTGTTCAATTCCTTCACATGGAAGGGTAGATTCAGAAGCATAGGGGTTGAGGGAACAAATCTCAGAGAGCTGTGGTTCTCAACCTTGTAGATGCTACAACCCTTTGATATACAGCTCCTTGTGTTGTGGAGAACTTCAGCCTTAATATTATTCCATTGCTATTTCATAACTGTAATTTTGCTACTGTTATAAATTGTAGTATAAATATCAGATATGCAGGATACCTGATATGTGACCCCTATGAAAAGGTCCTTTGACCCCAAAGGGTCTCAACCTGAGGTTGAAAACCTCTGTCCTAGAGACCTGAGAAAACTGTAGGATGTGGAGGTCTTGTCTTTTCTGCTGAGGTTCTTCTGGCACTTTCAAAGAGATAGGAAACTCTTCCAGAAACAAGGAAATTCAGAGCTGGGTGGTAAGTTGAGGACTGACTATTCCTGGAGCTGTTTCTGTCTAACAGGTAGTGCTCAAAGTCGCTCTGTGTTGTCACTGAAGTTGAGGGTTCCCTCTCTAGGAAGCTGTGTCAAGAAGTGAAAAGAAGAAATAGCATGACATGGATGTGGGTGGGTTTGTAGGTGTATATGTCTACGCAAGTGTATGCATGCAAAAATAACTCCTTACATTTGTATTATTTTCATTCCTCTGCAGTCTAATATAGTCATAATTTTGACACATATTTCAAGACATGCCACACAAATAGAAGATGGGTTTTTTCCATTTATAGACTTCTGTTTTCAGCACGTTGTCTGGGTTTTGTGTTGGGATGGAATGATGGCCAACATATCTGTGCTCGGCCAAGATGAATAACGTCAGTGCTAACCCTTGGAGGCAGAGCACACAAACAAATATCTGTAGCTAATCCCAGACAAACGAGGACCTCCCTCCTTCTGGTTAGCAAAGCAACCGAATTTCTTCCCAATCGTAGCCTATGCCAGTAAGAGCCTTTGCTTGCTAAGTCTTTTCTGTAGAGTAGATAAAATATTTATGTTATTTATATATTGATATATTATATTTTTAATTATCATAAATAAGAGATCTTACCTCTAGATTAGTATCTGTTATTTTGGAACCACATACTAACACATAGGAAATGCTCCGTCTAGTGCTCCTTCACCCCAACCCCGACACTCCCCACATCCCACTCACTGCGTGTTCATTCTGTTCAAGAGCAACTTAATCTCACAACTACAATACTGGGAAAGTCTGACCTCATTGAATGTCATGTAAACATCTCTTGTTGTGGCTTCTAAAGGGCTCTCTGTTCCACTTCTACGAATCATTACTTTTAACACAGAATTACGAGTAGGGGAAGACAGGGACGTTAGGCACACTGGAAGTAAAGACCCTAGGACCTTATGAGTTCTCAGAAGACATTCTAAATAAGACAGATCATATAGAAATGTTTATGGAGAGCTCAGGAAACCCCAGATACAGAGAGACGGGGGTGGGATGATAAGAAGGGGGCACAGTGTGCAGGAAGTCAGGCCCCGGCAGCAGTCACTGTCATCTGCAGGGCTAACACTCCTGAACAGGAAGCAGCTTAGATGAAACAGATGACAGCGTCACTTGGCAAAGGTGTCTCTAATGTTCATTTAAAAACATAGGAAACAGAACTCCGCCGAGAAACACATAACTGTGTGCAGTATGCTATTCTTGCACGTATGAACTTCTGGGCCATTTTCAGCTAGCAATTTGTATGATATCATTTTTGTGGTTCCAAAGCACTGTGTTTGTTGTCTTTAAACTTGGGTGACTGTCTCTAGGAGAGAAGATTTGTTTGCAAATATCAAATATAACCTTGAGGAAGGCACCCATTTTTCTCTACATGCCAACAGTGAAGGTGTCATTAGCCGGCCCATGTGCTCCTTTCTTTAATAACAGCAACTGAACTGGAGGTGAATTAGCTGGGTGTTCACTGTAATTTTAGAAATAGTTTGATGATTGCAGAGGTGATATGTCATTGATTCTTATGGTAACAGAGCTTCAACTGCAGGCAGGCTGGATCTACCTTTGATGATCTGTTTTTGATATTAATTTTTTAAATGTTGGTAATATTAGAGACAAGTCAAATTGAAAACTGTATCACAATAAAAATTAAAGTTTCATTTGGCCCATTCTTATTCCTCCTGTTTTGGTCTGGTCCATGTTGCTCCGGCAGCTCCCTATGCTAGAGTGGTTTTACCCTGTTGGTTGATACACATTATAGACATCTTTCATTCCTTGGCTTTCTTTTCTTTCCTCCTCCTCCTCTCTCCTTCCTCCACTAAGCTTTCTTTTATAATTTTCACACAGAAAGCTCCATGTCCATCTGGTCCATTCTTTATCAGGGTTTGGGCTAGAGCAAGTGCTCTCCTGTTGCTTAGCAATGCTCTTTCTCTGGACCGATCTACCTTCATCTCTCAGTCTATCTCTCCTGGACTACTCTATTAGTACTGGAAGACAACATCGTTTTCCAGGAAGCCAAACCAGAAAAGCATATCCATGTTCTGTTCTAACCATGCTCCTGACATGCATGACCCGGAGCAACTCTTGCAATAGACAGACTTGGCTGGACCCACAGAATAAGGCTCCAGAAGAAAGTTTGGGAAACTTCCTTCAGCTCAGTTGTGTAGAAGGATTAGGTATTTCTATGATAGTCCCAAATATCTTCCTATACTTCTTAACATAACATCTTTATGACTCAGAAAAGCTAATACAAATGATTTCATTTGAAATATAGCATCCTTATTGATGCAGGAACTGTGGAGTTTCCCAGAAAGCTGTACAGAGGGTTAAGGTTAGAAGAGTAATCAGGTACCTAACAATACAAAGACCAGTGCAGGAATTTTTGACATAACAGTATAAAGACTTCGTGACCAGTGTTCAAAGAAAAGAAGTCCAGATTCTTATATACTTTCCTTATCTGGTTGCTGCTAATGCATTTATCTGTGGTTGTAACTGAGCACAGAATATTCAAGTGTTGACTGAAAAGAATAAAATGTAAAAATAGCCAAAAGAATCTAGGATACTCATTCTTTCTCCATTTAATGATCAGAAATGACTTTAACACGGAGTTTTGCTAGAACTTCAGCTCAACAGCAAAGAGCTTGTTCTGGCAAATAAAAAAAATCATCACCGTAAAAGTAATTGTTGTATATTTTAGCAGGACTATGTCCCATCTGAGTATTTCCTCTTTGTTGTTTTTTTTAATTTTTTAATTATTTTTTGCAATTTATGCATTTGCCAAAGTGTGCCTACTGATGTTTTTTATTGACTACTGACACCATTTTGTTTTCAAAGACCTTTTTATTGCTATTGAAAACAGCAATCACTCCACTAGGTCTAGAGCACAGGGCATTCTATTCCAAATGCTACCATGTGTTGTATGCTGTGCATTCTGTATGCTCAGTCACCATTGTCCAGCTCCGTTAGATGGTCCTTCAGTTGCTGAGGACATTTTTGAAAGTGCTCTAGTGACGATGCTTATATTGATAAATGAGCAAGGCAAAAAACACAGATTCTTTCCCAGACATCAACCTCTGACTCTGGCAAACGGACCTTCCTCATCTTATTCAGGTTAATCAGCTATCTCCTGTATCGGAAGGCCACATCTTCATGGTGTCTTCGTCGCTCAGAGGTCATTTAAACAACGAACATTCATCACGTGTGGAGAACAACTCTGTTGGCAGAGAGTAACTCACTTTAGCCCTAAACTGTACCCTGAGTAGAAAATGAGACAGAACGAGCTGAAGAGAAAAGTCTGGACAAGAAGTGCCCAGCTTTAACTACTCTAGTCTTTTTAGGGTAACATTGTTTTCAATGAAGGTGACGGTAAACATATCTCTAAATGCTGCAGGTAGTCCCACTGGAGAGCCCTGTGGAAAGACGTGCTTGGAAGAGAGAGATAACCAGTGGCTGGGGGTGACACTTTCCAGACAGCCGGGTGAAAATGGATCTATTGTGGTAGGTGTTAAAGTGGACCCACTCATCAAGATCCTGGAATCAGACTTTCTAGGTGTGACCTTCACATGTTTGTTCTGCTTTTGTTTTATTCAGACTTGTGGGCATAGGTGGAAAAATATATATTACATGAAGAATGATAATAAGCTACCCAGTGGCGTCTGCTACGCGATGCCTTCGGATTTGCGAACAGAACTGAGCAAAAGGATGGCCCCGTGTTACCGGGGTAAGCATGGCATGATGTCGCTAGGTGGAGAGAATCCGTTAACCCCAAAAATGGGAGGAGAAAGACCACTGACCCAAATCATTATGGACAAGTTAATTAAAACAAGCAATTAAATCAAGCTTTTTTACTTGTGTACACAGGCTGCCTCCCCCTAAGGCAGGGCTCGAGAGGCCCACGTGCATAGGTTTTTGAAACAAAGGCATGGTTGCCATTTTCTGGAACCAGCAGTACAGAACCATCCATAGTTAAAGTTACAAGTGGCCATAGCCCACCCCTTGATAAACAGAGGTTTAATCATAAACAGGTATGAGCCAGGTGTGTCTTCACTATGAGATGGATTGAAGCCTAAAATGGGGGTAGACTCGTTCTTCAAAGCAAACGAAGGCTTTCAGTTGGCATTTCTTTGCGTTTTCAGTTTTGCCAGCTCACAGAGGAGGACCTTTGATATGGCCATCGTTTAACATAAAGCCGCCTTCTTTTGTTTACCAGTGTAGTCCCCATACCCCATAGAAGCCCTCTGTGCTTTTGAAGAGCAACCCTTTAGGTTCATTTGAATAACTGTGGAAGCTAGTTGATAATGATCCTCTTTTAGACTAAACTTATTTTCGAATCACTAAAAGCATGTCTAATGCCTAGGAAACACAGGATCCCTAAAATCATAAAATTACATAGAAAATTCTTATTAGAAAGAAAATGATTCCATTTCCTTTTTTTCTAGTAGCTTCTAAGGAGTCTTTAAAAGGATTCAAGACTTCAGTATAAGCAAAGTCTCCCTACTTCCCTTTCTCCCAGCTCATATGTATTCCTTGATGAGGTAAAGGATTAGTGTCTAAAGCACCTGGCCATGATCCCTTTCAAGTGGGAATATAGATAAAATCCAGAAAGATTCTTATTTGTCAGAATAGCTGTGTACTGAAAAGATGAGAAGTGTCTCCAAAGATGGCACGAGTACAAATTAGTGCAATATTATGAAAGACTATGGGCATGTCCCAAGATATGAAAATAGAAGGCCCACATAACTCAACAGTCCCTTAAGGAGTCTGAGAGGAAAGGACTCAAGAGTGGGATATGTATAGCACTGAGGGTTCTATTTAACGTTACAGCTTGTTGTGAAAGTTTGCCGAAAGGGTAGATTGCCATTGCTTTCATAAACAGACAAAAAATCACCATGAAGAGGTGTAGTAAGCTGCTTGAGTTCTACCATGTGAAGACACTGTTGGGCACCCCCAATATATATAGTGACTTGGAACTGGGAACCCAAAGCCAGAAGTATTACCTCTTAGGACAGGTGGCAAAACTTTCATCTGATGAAGAAGCAGAGGGGAAAATGCCTTTAATTGTGATTCAGGATGATAATTTGTATCTTAATACAGGAGAGCTGAATGGTGTAAATTATGATAATTATTATCATTTTCAAAAGTGAAGTGCAAAATACATATCCTAAGAGTCATGTCTGTGAAGACCTCTGAGAAAAATAAATTATGGAGATGGATATCATTACCATGAAAATTAATCCTAAAAAAATTAGAAGACTGAGTTAGAAGGGTCTTAGATTCAAGACCAGCCTGGCTGCCCTCTAACTCTGTGTATGTATGTATATGTATTCTCAATTCATCTAAATCAATATTTTATACTTTATTTTAGATTTTGTGAGAAAATTTGGAGAACATTTTGCATCATGTCAAGTTGGAATATCTAGTTTTTACACCCAGGTAACAGCCCGATATTAGCTACAGGTATCTCACATGGGTAGCAGTGTAATTCTAGGGGTTCTCTAGACTCAAAATTGAGTAACAGTTGAGTAATATCTCTTAAGCTGTAGACTGTTATCACCATATTTGTTCCATTTAATGTCCCATCTATAATTTTATAAAATAAACATGCAAATGACTGATAGTACAAGATCAACTAAAATCCACACTCAAATTATCACCTCCGTTAAGGACTTAATGGACACCTAAAGTAGCTAGTTACTTTGTTAATGTAAGAACTGAAAGCATCTACCCAAGTATATTGCTTTTTATTACTAATTGAGGGTGAGGAAAATATGAGTCTGTGTTTCATTAATATTGTAGTAGTAAGGCTTAACAGCTTGATTGTACCCTTGAAAATCAGATATAATCCGAAACACTTGTTACCCAAAACTCTAAAGTATTTATATATGAAGTCAGAGTTATATCTATCCCTCAGGTTAAATAATAAATGTTTCAGGTTCTCTCAAAAACCCATCACAATTTTATAAATGTTTTTTTTAACCCTGTGGAGATAATACAGCATTGTTTGGGTTGACTGTTCCTAGACATGTTAACACCTTTTACAAATGCTTATAACAATTCTTCTTTAGTTTATGGAATAACGATATTGAAAGTTCAGAATCACTTAGAAAATAAACTATATTTTTATTGGAATTGATTGCTATGGTTTGTTATACAATAGAGACAAGGACCTCCTCTCTCTCTCCCTCCTTCCTAGTTGTAATAAAATATGCCCTAAATTTCACAAGCCTTTCTATTATCTGGGCTGAAATTGTTAGGGACATTATTCAGTGACTTTTGCAAATTGAAATAAATTAAGCCCCCATTTCCTCTCTGGTAGCACACGATTATCCTGGTAACGAACCCTAATGAATTACACAGAGATGATTGTCCTTCGCTGACCCACAGCACCTTTGTCCCCAAAGCTTACTTTATTGTCTAATGTCCCTCCCTACCTTTGGTAATTGAAACCCACTGAGAAGTGTCAAGAGAGTGCCAGAATTTCTCCTCTAAAATTCTACTGTAGTGATTCTGGCTTTTTAGCATCTGGTTTTAAATTAATAAAAGTTGTCATTTCAGAGCTTCATTTCCTAATGATTTACCTAGAATGTTGTATATTTTCCAGAGGTTTGGGGTGGTGAGTTCTAATTTTCAAATGATGATGAGTTTTCTTTTACAGGATTTAATTGTGATGGGGGCCCCAGGATCATCTTACTGGACTGGTTCCGTCTTTGTCTACAATATAACTACAAACACGTACAAGGCATATTTAGACCTTCAGAATCAAGTAAAATTTGGAAGTTACTTAGGTACTATAAAAATTTGAGAAACTCAGATTGTTTGTGCCTTAGAAATTATATGTGCTATTCTAAGTATCCTGTCGTGCAGTAAGGTCAGACACTGTCTCTATTAAGCAGAGAGGCAATTATGTTTTCACTAATCCATATGTTATGCTGACGTAGGTGACTGCAGTTGTCACCACTATGATTTTATATAGGAACTGTTGAACACTTACTGTAGATGTCTGCCCCAACCTGTTGTAATAATAGGAGCGGCGGGCTGTGCCCCTGGCACCCAGCCGCCCGCATGGCTAGCTATAGCTTATGCCCCGAAATAATTACACGGAAACTGTATTCTTTTAAACACTGCTTGGCCCATTTCTATCTAGCCTCTTCTAGGCTAACTCTCGCACCTGGACTAGCCCATTTCTAATAATCTGCTGTAGCCCACGAGGTGGCTTACCAGAGAAGATCTTAACCCGCATCTCTTTGGAGTAGGAGAATCATGGCTACTCACTGACTCAGCTTCTTTCTCCCAGCCTTCCGTTCTGTTTACTCCTCCCACCTATGTTTTAACCTATGAGGGCCAAGCAGTTTCTTTATTGCTTAACCAATGAAATCAACAGATTGAAATATGACACTCCCACATCACCAGCCCTTCTTTTGAAGACAGGGTCCCACTGTGTAGTCCTGGTTGTTTTGGAACTCTCAGAGATCTGCCTACCTTTGCTGCCTGAGTGCTGGAATTACAAATTACAAATTAAAAACTTCTTGGGTCCCTAGTGAAATATGACACTCCCACATCACCAGCCCTTCTTTTGAAGACAGGGTCCCACTGTGTAGTCCTGGTTGTTTTGGAACTCTCAGAGATCTGCCTGCCTTTGCTGCCTAAGTGCTGGAATTACAAATTACAAATTAAAAACTTCTTGGGTCCCTAGTGAGTTTTTAAACCAACTCTGTATTAGTACACTCATCTAAACATTTGTCTATGAATACATAATCATAAATTCTTAGACTATCAATTGAAAACCAGTGGGCCTTATAAAAGCATTCTAGATAAAGGAGAACATTAAGTATAAATTCTAACAATTATTCTTCCACGTTTTCCTTATCAACATTTATTTTTGTTTGGAAAGATTATCTTAGGTTGTTTCTTGGGGTTTAATCATTTTTATTGCCCTTTTCCTCTCTGTTGTTATTTCACAAAGCAAGAGTATTATACTTTATCACCCATATTTCTACAAACACAAATTTTATGGCATTCTTTCCCTTTACAATAAGATGCATGTGTTCTGCAGTTTCTTATAAAGCATAGGTTTGTTTAGCCCTCATGTGCTTGAAATGTGAACATCATGTGCTCAGAAAGGGCATTAATGAAACAAGTAGCATTTTTATCATTTCAACAGAACCTATATGACATTACCTTACCTGTGAATGAAAAATGTCATGACTTTTTTTTGTAACATCCACACAATAGAAAGATGAAATATGTGACGATTATCAGATTATCGGTGCTGGAAGCTGGTTGCTCATATCACAGGGAATATCCCACCAAGTGTCAGTGTCGTATTCTCAATGCTGAGAGCTTGGCAATGCAAACCTACAGTATCGTTTTTTATAACGTGTATGTTAAAATTGCTTTAAATGATGATTTTCAGTTAATAAAAGTTTCTTGAGGCTCTACCTAAAGTAATAAGAAAAGCAAAGAATTAGAAAAGCACATGTCTATGGTGAACGAAGTCTCATGTATTTCTCTCCTGTAATGAAGGCTATTCGGTTGGAGCTGGTCATTTTCGAAGTCCACACACGACTGAAGTCGTAGGAGGAGCTCCTCAACATGAGCAGATAGGAAAAGTGAGACTTTTCTTTTTCTCTGTTTCTTCACAAAGTCTTGAATGGTTTACATGAATCAGGCGTTAAAGGGAAACTGTAATCATTTTCATGAATATAAGATTACAACGATGAGCAATGCATTGCATTGGCCGAATTTATGTAAAATATATTTATAGCCCTCAAAGAGATTGAATGGAAACCTTTAGAGGAAATCGTATAACTTAAGTGGGGCTTGGTTCTGAGTAAATTGCTTATAAAGTATCTATAGATGCACAGAGAATGCGATATCTGGTTATTATTTAGTAAAAGGGAGTTGAGACAGGTAACACTGCATGGTAAGACTAAAAAGAACAGATATTCTCTAGGATAATTCCAGTTCCATATTTTTCTGCATTGCCATGTGGACACTGGCGCTGCATTTTTTGGTAAACCTTTTTCTTTGCTTTCTCTGTGGTACCCAAAAGTAAATTCCTCAGAGGAGAGTGTTGGAAATCAAGCTTACTAATATGAATATTTCACATCATTCTTAAAATTTGTAGCATTAATAATTTATTGAACATTTAATATTTTTATATTTGTCCAATTATTTTTTATACATGAATTGATGTTTCAGTTAAACAAATTAGTTTTTTTAAGTCTGCTAAGGAAGTAAACATTTTGAATTCTTCCCCCACTTGCAGGCATATATATTCAGCATTGATGAAAAGGAGCTGAGCATCATCCATGAAATGAAAGGTAAAAAGGTAAATATGTCTCTGCCTTTGGGGTCGCTGAGGGCTTCCGTGGATAACGCTGTCTTCTCATTGCGCATGTGCTCTGCTTTGGAACAGCTTGGCTCATACTTCGGAGCATCTATCTGTGCAGTGGACCTCAACGCAGATGGCTTCTCAGATCTCCTTGTGGGGGCTCCCATGCAGAGCACCATCAGAGAGGAAGGGAGAGTATTCGTATACATGAACTCTGGCTTGGTATGTCTGAGTGTCTCCACCTTGGAAGACACAAATTATAATTCAGACTGAAACAGGTCTTCTTTCAGGGTTCTGAGACTACAGATTCTTTTTGTAATTTGTGTGTGTGTTTGTGGGTGTATACAAGCACATGATGTGTGTGCATGCATCTTTGCATGCCATGGTACATATAATGTCTGTGCATGCATCTTTGTGCATGCCATGGTACATATAATATGTGTGCATGCATCTCTGTGCATGCCATGGTACATACGATGTGTGTGCATGCATCTCTGTGCATGCCATGGTACATATGATGTGTGTGCATGCATCTCTGTGCATGCCATGGTACATATGATGTGTGTGCATGCATCTCTGTGCATGCCATGGTACATATGATGTGTGTGCATGCATCTCTGTGCATGCCATGGTACATATGATGTGTGTGTATGCATCTCTGTGCATGCCATAGTACATATGATGTGTGTGCATGCATCTCTGTGCATGCCATGGTACATATGATGTGTGTGCATGCATTTCTGTGCATGCCATGGTACATATGATGTGTGTGCATGCATCTCTGTGCATGGCATAGTACATATGTGTGTGCATGCATCTCTGTGCATGCCATGGTACATATGATGTGTGTGCATGCATCTCTGTGCATGCCATAGCACATATGATGTGTGTGCATGCATCTCTGTGCATGCCATAGCACATATGATGTGTGTGCATGCATCTCTGTGCATGCCATGGTACATATGATGTGTGTGCATGCATCTCTGTGCATGCCATGGTACATATGATGTGTGTGCATGCATCTCTGTGCATGCCATGGTACATATGATGTGTGTGCATGCATCTCTGTGCATGGCATAGTACATATGATGTGTGTGCATGCATCTCTGTGCATGGCATAGTACATATGTGTGTGCATGCATCTCTGTGCATGCCATGGTACATATGATGTGTGTGCATGCATCTCTGTGCATGCTATAGCACATATGATGTGTGTGCATGCATCTCTGTGCATGCCATGGTACATACATCAATGTCCAAAGCAATCAGTCCCCTTCTACCTCATGTTTCTGGGACCCAGCTTAGGTTAAGAAATTTTCACAGGAAGCACTTTTATTTACTGAGCAATCTTGCCAGGTCAAAGGTAGTCTTAAGTTTTTCTGATGGACCAAAGTGAAAGTTCTACTGCCATCCTGATGTTCTGAAAACGGAACAGAGCACAACAGTGAGCAGCTGTTTCAGAAACAGGAGACTCAGCACAATGGAGTTTCTATACACTGTTTATGTGGGCTCACTCTGCTAATTGTAATTTCCTTTAGTTTAATTTTGGCACAAATAAAATTTGGAAGCATGGTTTGTGTAGATATTTCAAAATAGATTTTTATGTTCTTCAATAATTACGGTCCTTAAATAATTTAGCAAATTGTAAAATGTTTGCTGTTAGGAATAGATGAAACAGTCAATGTTTTTAATGTTTTGACTTGCAAATAGGAATTAGGCACATTGATAAAATATTATTTCACAGTTCATGTGGGCTATATACTGAAAATAATCTGAGATTGGCATCATTCTGAAGTGGATACATTGTTAAATTAGATCACTACTGACTATTGCTCAACTTTAAGTCATGGGCATTGTTGGTAGTGGAAACACGTGACTTGATCATTCTGCAGAGTTCTGGCTTTCTCTGGAAAGCCTTGTTTCTTGATGTTAAATCAAGCAAAGATTGGATACTTAGTGGCACCTTCTTTGTTCCTGTGGTTTGAAAATAAGATCAGGCTTCATGTACTGGGACACAGCATCTTTTAGTTCAGAATTCTCAACGTGTGCTTGTAACCTTGCTTACAGAGAATTTGATAAGTTCTCATTTCAGACATCAAACTATAAACTCTGTATGATGCAAATGAGAAGGCTCCCAGTGGGATGAGGATGGAAGCCTGTCTATGTCCTAAATCTAGACTAGATTTGGAATGAGGATGGAAGCATGTCTATGTCCTAAATCTAGACTAGATTTTGGGTGAGGATGGAAGCATGTCTATGTTCTAAATCTAGACTAGATTTGGAGGGAGGATGGAAGCGTGTTTATGTTCTAGATCTAGATTAGAGCTGCACAGGCAGAGATTTCCTAGACGTTCTTTAAACTGTATTCTACGAATGACATATTATCGTCTGGACAGTGATCTCTTTGATAGCGCTTATTAGTGTTTATTAAATCCTTATTCAGTAAGTGTCTCTCATTTGTCCCCTGTGACAAATTCCTGTTAAGTTTCTCTTAACAAGGAGTTTAAAAACAAATAGTTTGACAGTTAGAACCATCCAGAAAGTTAAGGACCATTCCCCCACAAAAATCATAGACCATCCCACCATGAGGACAGGCAAAAGAGTTGCTTAGAGATCAATAGAAGAGCCTTTCCACAAGGCTACTCTCTCCCCTTCCCTCTGGCTTACCCAGAAGCACTCTTGCTGGGTGCTTGGATCAGTTTAGTAATTGGCTTCCATTTTTAAATCCTGCAGTGTGGATTTCTCTTCTTTTCTTCACATTTAATCTATTTGTAAACTCTCTGAAATGGCATTAGACACTAAGAAGCATAATATTTTCTTTACCTAGTTTGCTCTTGCCTGTGCTAACATGGGAGAGCAATCATCTGTTTGGTTTACCCTTGTTTTTTTTTTTTTTTTCTATGACTCCTAGAAGTCCTAGACAGGCAGGCCCTCCAGAATTATTTTCAATGAACTGAAAGAAAGAAGATTACTTAAATGGCTTGGGTTTTGACCTAATCTACTAAACAGCTCTCAAGGGTCCCCATCCCCAGTGAATACTTGGTTGCTGTTCTCAATGACTGTAGAATTCTTGAACAAGAGCAATCACCACTTTTCCTGAAATTCCTCTGAAACAGCATTGTCTAAAGGTTATACTCCATTTGTCTTCTCTGAAGCCCTGCCTCCCTTCCCTTTGTCATTTCCTAGGGAGCCATGCCAGTACATCCCCCGCTTCTCGGATTTAATTCCGTATCATGTGGGTGGTAGTGATTGAATCTATAGAGATAAATTCCAAAGTTTTAATTTATTTTTAAAAAAGTGACTGTTAGTGAGAATCTCTAATGAAACATAGTATGAAAAAAAAAAAGAAAAACAGCTGAAGATAATCCCAGCTGTGACCCAAGAACTTCGGGCCTGGATGAAATGTTAGTCATGGAGGTGTCATTGGAAAGCAGCATGGCAAATGGGAGGGGGGGGGTGATAAATACAGGAAGAGTGGGCGTTATTTGCTTTGGGCCAAAAATATTTCAAGGAAGTAGTATTTGAGTAAGAATCAAATAGGAATCTCCAATTATAAAAGAAACGGTGAAGGACACTTGGCCAAAAGTAGACTGTGTGCTTGTGGGATGAAGAAGAATGTGCCTGGGAAGAGGATGTGGGCTATGAGCAGCATGAGGAATTTGCTCCAAAAACATGGCACTGAACTGATCAGAGATCATTATTTACAGCATCATGAACTTACCTCGTATGTAATTACATATATTATATGTAACCACTAACTTTCAGCATTTGGGATACCAGTTGACCAATGCATTGATGCTAGGATACCTTCCAGAGGCCATCTTAAGTGATGTCACTCTTTTTTAAGAGGCCTCCCAGGGCTTCTTATTGTTCACTTCAGAAAATAAATTTACTTTTTAATCAAATTGCTATAGACTGTAGGATAACAATTTGGGTTTTGTTCTCTTGTTGATTATATATACACCACTCATATATTAAGTGATTTGCTGATCACCTTTTCTGTATATCAAAACCATACCGTTTTTGCAATAGCCTTGCATGGATACTTTATGCAGTTTCTCTCATCTTTTTTTTTTTACTCTTCCTTATTGGAATTCCTTCCTTGCTTCAGTTAGAATTATTTTTCTCTCTTCTCATTAGTGTGGAGCAATTTGTACTTCCAAGTCATATGCATGCTTGTGGTAAGCCCTCTTTGTAGCTGTGGCTCCTGGAGGAAACAGCATTTTATAAACAGGCTTCCAAGACCCCTTCACCTGCTCGCTCTGCACAGTGCATTGTCTTTAGCAAGAGCTCAATAAATATTTGTTAAATTGAATTATCAAAATGATTTATTGGATTTTTCAAAGCTAGGGATCATGAGCTAGACAATTTTCTATGTCCTTTGAGCTCTAATCATGTTATTATATGTGTTGACTTAATAAATATTTATTGAATTGAACTGAGATGTATGTTCTAAAGCTCAATTCTTGGTTTGATGCATTACAAAAATCCATATCCAATTATAGCCGTAAATCATGTGTAAAGTTGTCAAGGAGTTGTATATGACACCTTCCTTCTCTCTCTACCTAGGGAGCTGTAATGAATGAGATGGAAACGGTACTCATTGGGAATGACAAATATTCTGCAAGATTTGGGGAATCTATAGCAAATCTTGGTGACCTTGACAATGATGGCTTTGAAGGTAAAAATCTCTAATTAAAATCTCTAATTTTGGACTTGATTTCCACATTTAAAATTGTTCAGGGAAGAGAACATGATGATAGTTCTGTGACGTTTGCCTGCTGAAAATGAGGCCAGACGGTCTGCTATCTTGTTTTCTATACTGTTGGGTCAGTTGTAACTGCCAGTAATTAATCTTTACCATCATCTTGTTGATTCTAAAGATACTCATTGCTGATTATAGGCAGCATAATTCTTTACACATCTCTAAAAATTATATCTATCAAATTGTGATATGCATCATTTTTCTATTTTAAGAAGGATGGTGGTTTTAGAAAGAAAATATTAAGTGTATGTATCACTGGACAATAACATTTAGCTACCCGTACAGTTCAGAAACTGACCAAACATAACTGAATCTGTTTTCAAGCCTGAAGCACATTCTGGTGACCCCTGCAGTAACACCTTGCCTGGGCACTGCATTGCTATAGGATTTGGAAGAGTCCCAGAGAGAGTCCCAGACAACATTGTTGAGGGGTTTTTGTGAGAATCAGGGCAGTGGCTATCCACCAGTAGAAGCATTTCCATGGTGAAATAAATGGCTCTCTTAACATGCATGCTGCTCCAGACATCAGCCTCGATATAGAAACACCTGCCCTATGAGCAGCCTCTGTCAGTCTAGCGTTGGGAGTTAACTTATTTGATAAAACTGCACATTGATGATGAATATGTGTAAGAGGAGAGTGTGAAATTTCCCAGAGTGCAGTAATTTCTGACATTTTAGCATCTAAGTTCTTAATATTTATTTTTATGGCTTATAATTCTGTCCTCTTGATACTATCATGATAATTAAAATAATTGTATCCTCTTGATATTATCATTGATAATTAAAATGTGGTTTATATTAAACAGCAGTCAAAATTACAACCGTGGTTATGACAACATTTCCAGACAATAATAGTGGTTCCATGAAAACAAACTGTCATATGCTTTGGATTTCAGTTAAAATAATTAAAACCATTGCACAATTAGTAGATAAATTAATATACCTACATAGACCCGTGTGGCATAACAATGAAGTGATCTTGCAGCTATGGGATGCTATTTTTCTTCTTCATGATATATGTATTTACATCACTTAAACAACAAGGTTCACCGGCATGTCTGTTACTCTTGTGTTTTTACACATTAGATCATCATTTCTTTCTTCCAGTGTCATAATCCAATATGAATCACAATAAATTCTTTCATTATTTTTCAAAACAAGGCATTTTCTGAAATCCTATTTGTATGTATGACTGTATATCCCCAGTATATACTCCTGGAATAAGAATACATTCAGAAGTCATTTTAAAGGCATAGAAAAGTCTAGAAGCTCAAAACTAAGGTTCTTGTGGTCATATAATATCATGTTATAACCTGCCAGATGCTGTTCTATGTAGGGATGTATCGTATCCTTTCTTACTAAGCATGCATCTTGCTGTTATCTCATTCTGTGGTTGAGGAAGCTAAGACACACGTTAAATATTGGGGGGGGGTCCGTGGAATAGCAGTGCGCAGCAGCAGAGCTGAGATGGGCACCCAGAGGTATGCCTGGAGCCCCTGTAAGCTTTACCATGGTGAAAAGTGTCCTTCAAATCCACCCACTTTCTTATTTTCCATGGATTATCCTGAACTTTATGATATTAGTCTTTTTTTTTTTCCTGGAAGAGTGGTTGAACTTCTATGTAAGAGGGAGTTTTTATATTATGTCACATGCCTTTAGGGTCATGAAGGCAAGTTTTCAAAGATCATTCTTGGTATCAAGAATTTCTAAATTTTTTATGTTTAAATCAAACAGATATTGCTATTGGGGCTCCCCAAGAAGACGATTTGCGAGGTGCTATCTACATTTACAATGGCCGAGCAGATGGGATCTCATCCACCTACTCACAGGTAGGACAGGTCTTCCAAAGAGGCATTAGTTATTAACATACCACCCTCACCATGTGGCTGGTAATGTGGTAATGCTTTTCTCTTTCAAATACTACACATTTTATTTCACTATATAATATTGGTAAATGATCCTGTTTTAACTAACTCTCAGAACAATTTTCTCTAAGCCATTTATTCCCATAGAGTTCTAGTCGACTCGTATTCTTGCCCTTAGCCTAGTTCTCAAGTCTGTGTGTGTGCGATGTCTATGTTTTCTTAAGGCGATGGCCATGCTTTTGTAAGTTTGCCTATTTGGACAGCAGCTGTGCTTCCTTGCAGCTGAAGCTTCATGCTTCGCTGAGCGAGGCCATGGTTCTTTCAGTGGGCAGGAGTTTCAATGATAGCACCTTAACACAATTTTATGACAACCCTCTCATTTCACTTCTCTAACTTGAAAACTCAGAGCATCTCAGTGCATAAAAAGACCGACATTCAAATTCTGGGAAGAAAAGACTTTCCAAAGACTCAATAGCTCTATAGGCAAATGGACCTCCATATTTAACAGAGAAGTTAGGTATGCGTCACGTGAAAGATACTGAGTTTTTCTCACTGTGAACAGCAACCATGTGCTTCTGATTCAGCGTCCAGACATGTAGTGAAATGGATGGAGCAGAGTGAGGGCAGGGGTGTTCTTCAATGTTAGGAAGCAGTCTTCCCAAACCAGCAGACTTTCGTCATAAAACTAAATAGTAGGAACTGGTAAATAATAATAGACATCTTATTTTCCAATTAATTAATTTATTTATGTTGATTAAAGAAGCAAATGCAGAACTTGAAAAATTCAAAGACAAGGAATAGAAATTGTTTTGGAAAAATTAAAAACTGTACGTGAGATGTTGCCTTTTTAAAATATATTTATTTATTTATTTGTTATGTATACAATAGTCTATCTGTGTGTATGCCTGCAGGCCAGAAGAGGGCACCAGACCTTATTACAGATGGTTGTGGGCTCCATATGGGTGCTGGGAATTGAACTCAGGACCTTTGGAAGAGCAGGCAATGCTCTTAACCACTGAGCCATCTCTCCAGCCCATGAGATGTTGCCTTTTTAACAACATAAATTTTTAGTAATAAAATAGATTTCATCTCTATTTCAGTGTAGGAAATTTTGCCTCTTTTAAAGAGTTTGCTTTATTTAGAATGCATTTTGTGAGTTACTGTCTTCGAGAAAGCCTCAGAAGATCCATTACTTAACTAAGCTGACATCTTGTAAATATTAGCTATTTAATAACTATTTCCTGTCAAAATTACCCCTCCCCCCAGAGAATAGAAGGACTTCAAATCAGTGAATCATTAAGGATGTTTGGACAGTCCATCTCAGGACAAATTGATGCAGACAACAATGGATATGTGGGTGAGTAGAGACTGTGTCCAGTTTCTGGACCAAAGCAAGCTCCTTTGTGGATGCTGCTTTATTGTGAACATGCAAACCCGATGTGTAGGGCTTCGGGTCACTTTTAATTGTGTTTCTAAATGTTCAAGCTTTCGAGCTGGGCCTGAAATGATTAAGGGATTTATCAGTTTTATACTGTTAGTGACTGGATAGGAGAGCCCTTGTTCTTGAGAAGGAAGGAAGTACCTAAGAAATCAGTCAAACATGATGAAAAGAACAGAGAAATCTGCTTTAAAAGACACGAGAGGAGCCTTCTGGATGAATATTTCTCACTCAGAGCATCAGACGTCATTTGGTAGTGATGTCACAAGTCCCTAGCATGCAGCTTCTTTGCTTTCTTGTGAAAGGATCACTACTATTTGAGTGAATAGATTCTGGAGGAATGGTTCTGAGGATGCTATCTTGTCTTTTCCAGTTAATTTTTCTATAAATGATCTTTTGATACAGTCAGAAGGTGATACACAGTTAAGTATTTGTGGCTGCAAGGTAATTCCCTTTAACTAATGGTTATCATTAATCTTTGTTGCTGTTTCCCCCCCCTCCAGATGTTGCGGTTGGTGCTTTTCGGTCTGATTCCGCAGTGTTGCTAAGGTGAGGTGGATGTGCGTGAAACTTGCTTACTGATGGTCTGGCCTAATTGTAGATAATGAGGGGCAGGTTTCAAATACAGTGGCCTTGCTGATGCTCCTTTAGGCATGCTCGAGGTTTATTATTAGATTTGGGGGCATTTTTCTTACCTTGCCTAGATTTAATTAGACCATCTGATAAAGCCAATGCTTTTATTTACTTAAATGAAAACTCCTGATCTGTACACAAACTATAACCAAGCATGTATGCACATACTACTGTGTAAGCATTTAAATGGCATTGCTTGGTTGTTGGGAAAGTAATTATTGTCTTAAGGTAAAATGATTCTCTAATTGATATTAGTAATTTCATTGCCTTCTTAGGACAAGACCCGTAGTGATTGTGGAAGCATCCTTAAGTCATCCCGAGTCAATAAACAGAACCATATTTGACTGCACTGAAAATGGACTTCCCTCTGTGTGCATGGATCTGACGCTCTGTTTCTCATACAAGGGCAAAGCAGTCCCGAGCTACATCGGTAAGGGTGTGCCACCAAACTAACACGGAGCAGAAGCTCATTCCTCAATCTGGGAGTAAATTATGCTTGATTGTTTGCCATGGGCAGTTGACAATTCCTTGGCAGAGAATAAATAATCTTTGGATATATACCTCTTGCCCATCTTTTTTCGGTCCTCAAGTTGTTCGAATCAGTAAGTGGGGCACATAGAAGGTTTGGCACTGACGTCGAAAGGCGGTGCCAGGGGCTTCACTTGCTGCTTTTGTTTAAGTTGAACCCTCTGTACTTAACCTGGTAATTCTTCAGAATCAAAAGAGCACACCGCAGCTCTTCTGCGTGACAAGGCTCCTTTCAAATGTTTTTATTGCTATTACTGCTCTTCTAACAGTGATGGAGATGAACTGAGGGCCTTGAGGACATTGTGCAGGTGCCGCACTACCAAGTTACTTCCTCGGCTCTACTGCGCTTGTAAAACTTGGAGCTAGTGTAGGTAGGAGGGAGTTATTTTTTTAAATATATGCTGTCATATTTGGATAAAGAAGGTTAGCTGGAGAATAGTCCTGAATTTTGATATATATATATATAATTTATATTAATTTTATATAATTTAGTATATATAATATGTGCCTTTATCAGCTCTGATAATTGTACCCATTTTATTAAAGGGATCTCTTAATTGTCTGCCATAGAGAATGTAGCATTGATGTGGATCATCCAAGATGGTAATTAATCCAAACTCTACCACACGCACATGCATGCACACACAATATTAGAATAGCTACTAATAAAAGTGGTCCACAGTAAGTCATTTGTATACCTGGAATGATCATAATTTGACTATTAGTAATTGAAAAATTGATTGTGCTGTAACCTTATAGGCTGCTGTTATATGAAGATCACAGAGGCTGTCAAATACTCGTTGAGCCAGACTGTATGTATAATAGAGGGTTCAGGCTGGACAAAGGGCAGAGTGAACGCAGCATCTGTACCTTATGAGACACATTTTTAATAATGCTCTTGAAGAGCCCTGGCCAGAGCTGAGGTAATAATGAGACGAGCAAACCCTCATCTGGTGATTGGCACCTGGGGAGTGTGACCCCAGAGTGAATTCCACATTAGCATAGACAAGCTGGTGGATTATCTGGAGATACACATGGATGGACGTGGCCGCCTCCTTGCTCTTCCAACTCCATGGCACTGGATGGTTTTTCATCATGTCTGAAGGCAAACATACAAAACTCATGAAGAGTCACAGTGTTCTTGTAAAACATGCTTTATAATTGTCGTCAAATGAGTCCTTGTTGAGAAAAAGCCACACAATAGGGTTGTTTGATGAAGCCCGGGTGCTCTTCCTCTTGATGGGAAAAGGTTTTTATTTCCCTCTTTTGCATTACCTTTGCTTGCACCCAGGTGACGCATTTATAGATAGACCCTCAATTGTAGCTCTCGCTTGCTCTTTAGGTTATTAAATTACAGTTATTGAAATTTTGAAGTCAATTGATTTGGGATTTATTTTCTAATTAAATGACAGTTGACGGATTGATTTGGAAAGAAATGTAAGAGTAATGCAAGTCTTACGCTCATGTTGCCTTGAGATGAGAGGGTAAAATACCTTCAGAAATGGAAGTTCATCTAAAAATATAAATGAATGCTGCATGATTTATATAAATCCTGTAGAATTTCACTTACACATCCTTACTCCTGTGCAGTGAGGGCAAATCAGTGGAGGGCTATGCTCCACTCCCTTTGTAGAGGACTTGCTTAGATTCTGGAAATGGGCCTCACGTCCTTGCTAGAATCTGTATTGATGATTTTATGGAACTTCTAATCCTCCATTTTTTTCCATCTCATCTGAGGGTCTTATTTTTCAGCTAAATATTTAGTATGTCAGATTTGAAATCAGCCCTTCAAACCACTAGAATAGTCGAGAGAAAGTTCATTTACTTTTGCTTCTGCACAGATTAACTCTAGAGGGTCAGACTATGAGCGGCAAAGTCATAGAGGATGAGTTATTGGCATTGGACTGAAAGGAAGGTAATCGTTTCTTATAAAGGTGTAGCTTATGGCCTGTATTTTCATTTTATATAGGAAAATTAAAAATATCAAGCATACAAAAAAAAAAGCAGAAATAAGTGAACCCTGCTGCATTTCAAGTTATCCTTGCAATCACACAAGATGGGTTCACCCCTGAGCAGTGGTGGAGCTCAGAGCTCTAGCTGTAATTCTGTTCCCAGGTGCTATGTAGACAAGTGTGACCAAAGACTGTATTGTTAGTAATGATCTTGACAGTGTTTTTCACATTCTTACATGTGAAAGGCTTCAGCAAATAAGTAAAGATGTTAATAATGAAAACTTGAAAAAAACATTAATAAATATTTTTATTATATTAAAAACAGTTTTGAAGGTGTATTTTTTTAATATCAGTTTAACTGTGTAAAAATAATCTAATGAAGGAACTTGAGGTGTTTCCAGTATGGCATGTAACTGTTACCATCCCAGCATCTTGAGCAGGTATGCTAACCACGGTTCTTCCCTGTTTGTGCAGTTTTGTTTTACAACGTGAGCTTGGATGTGCACAGAAAGGCAGAGACGCCATCAAGATTTTACTTCTTCTCTAATGGAACTTCAGACATGATCACAGGAAGCGTGGGGGTTTCGAGCAGTGGAGAGAAGTGTAGGACACACCAGGCATTCATGCGGGTAAGGAAAGCTTATTATGAAATATCGATATCCATACTGTCCACGCGGTAGCAAATTACTGTATGATGTGTGTTTTATGGACTGTTAGCTTCCTGTGCCCGTTAACACATCAGGCACAAGAGGACGGAGAGTCCACTTCCTGATGTATCTTTGTCTCTGTGCCTGTGTCCTTGCATCTAGAGACTTGCCTTTCCCCTACAGCAGCTTTTTCCCTGCCCTCCTGACCCACCTGCTTGCGAACATTTCTGGGTCATTCTGCTGAGCCTCACCTCTTCTCTATAGTGTGTTTGGGGTGACATGTCAGTTTGTTTTCTGTGACCTCAGTTAGGGAGAAGGCAGCATGAATGCATCTGGATTCTTCGCTTCTGCTCCAGCTTTATTGGGGTGCCAGTGGGAGCTTTACAGTTGCGGTATGGTGGGGCTCATCTGTGGATCAGTGTGACAGCTCTCACCACGGCTTGGGAGATATTTATGCCAGAGCACAGTGAATTTCATGCTTCTTTTATTAAAACAGTCATTCCCAAACCAAGCATCAAGCTCCTCACATTGGTTAAATTTTAGCATATGAAGCTGTGCCAGGTTTTTTTTTTTTTTTTTCCATTAGGGAACTATGTACTTCATCAGAAAATCGATTGTCACAAGAAAACCAAACTATTCCTAAGAGCCCTTTTTGGGATCTGAAATAGTAGCCCCAGCTTGGAACATAATTTTCCCTCAGATGCTTTTTCCAGGAATAGACAAACATGTATTGATACTGGTACACTGTGCTGTACGGAGAGCACGAATCTCCAAGCCGTTTCCCCTTCCTTCCCATGGTTTGCTGCGTTAGAATAAAGCTATGGACAGCCAAACACAGAGGACGATATTAATGTAGCCATCAGTGGTGTGGTGGGGATCCGGAGGCTCTTTCGTTTTCTTCCTTCACAGGTGTGTTATGTCTTGTTTTAGTCAGTAACAGAGCTGGTGAGGCCATTTTCAGTGCGACATGAGGACCAGCATTAGAGGTGCTCAAGGAAACAGGTTGTGTTTAAGTTGTAAAAATAGCAACAAATGGAGCTGGTTTGTTTAGCCCTGTTCCCTGGCATGATTCCTACGAATAAGGGATCGTCCAAATTGCACATTTTCTTCCAAGCACATTTGGAGTGGAGTTATACTTTACCAGAGGTTTCTGTGCTCTGTTGTACGTATCCTTGCAGAGTTACCATGGCTTTTGTGAAAATAGGGTACACTGTTGACTTTGGGCCCTATCATGAATGTTTTATTGCTTATTATTATTATTATTATTATTATTTTCAAAAGGCTGGAAGCAACGACAGTCTGCTAGGCAGATTCTCCAGCACTTAACTGCATCCCAAGCCCTATACTGCAGTGATCTGCCTGGCTCTTCTGTCCCCTAAAGATATCTAATATCAGAAATGTACGCATTTGACTAGAATCCCGTAGAAGGAAATGTACTGATACTTCTTGACATTGTATTCAGAGGGCTGGAAATGTGACTCAGCTTGTTGATCTCCCAAAAGACATGAGTTTATTTCCCAGTATACATATTAGTTAGTTTATAATTGCCTGGGACTAGTTCCAGGGGCTTTGACCTTTTCTGGTCTCCCACACATCTCTCTCTCTCTCTCTCTCTCTCTCTCTCTCTCTCTCTCTCTCCCTCTCTCCCTCTCTCTCTCTCTCTTTCTCTCTCTCAATCTCTCTCTCTCTCTCTCTCTCTCTCTCTCTCTCTCTCTCTGTCTGTCTCATGCACACACATCTGTCACACACATTGTATACACACAAATCAATAAAAATAAATTTAGAATAGTGTACTCATGTCCAGGACACTTGGCATTCAGATACCAATTAAATTCAGTTTACTCATTCACTATGTTCTCTAGGTGATTATTAAATACATTGTATCATATTCTATTTGAGATGTTTACACATTATCAGCGAATGACAAATAACAAGAACACTACCTTCACATAGTTTCTAGGCTAGTGGTAAGAGGCAAAAGCATACTGAAAAAGAAATCTCGAGTATTTTAGAAGATTATACAGATAAGGCAAATATACTAAGAAGGAACAGACTACAGGAAAGAGCTGGTGCTGGGTAGGGAGGTGGGAAGTAAATAGTGTACAATATAAGCAAGAGTAGGGCTCACTCAGGAGGTGACATCTGAGAAAAGACTGAAAGGAGTGAGGATGTGGACCACAAAAGCAATGCAAGGCAGTGGCTCCCAACTTCAGTGCATAACAGCAACACCTATAGGACTTCGCAGATACTACATGCTTGACGGTGACGAGAATCATTGGCTGTGTGGGTCTGCAGAAGACATGATGATTTGCCATTCTTCCAAGTTCCTGGGTGATACCAGTGCCACTGGCTCAGGCACTGAGAATCTCAGGTCTAGGGATAGAAGGTTCTGGGATCTAGGTAAAATGCTCCAGGACAGGTCTAGGAGTAGAAGGTTCTGGGAGCTTAGGTAAGAAAATGCTTTAGGACAAGAAGGTGGCAGGTTATTTTAAGGGACAATGGAGAGGTGAAGTAGACAAAGAAATATGGGCAGTAGGGATGGGGGAGCACTTGCAAGGCAGACCTGATGGGATCTGTGGGTTTTCCTGAGGGAGATGAAGATCTGTTGTAGAAGTCTGAGTGTGCATGAGTTCGGTGTGACAGCACCCTAGCTGCTGTGCAGAGGGTTTTGGTGGATAATAGGTTACAAGCATTGACACAGAAAACATGACTGCTCTCACTGAGGTCAGATGAGGTTTCCATCAGAGGCAGAGGTGACAGATGGGTTGAGAGGTGTTTGAAGACACAGCCTGTGCTGTTCCCTAACAGATCCTACATTAGACACTTGAAAAGGAGGTTCACAAAGATGTCGACAGTTACCTTGTTAGCCCAAGGAACTAGATACACCATTTTTATTAATTCAGACAAAATACTGCACAAGAAACAACTTTCTCTTGGAATATTCTTGTGTTCAGTTGTCAACTTGCTGAGATAAAAACACGTTTACCTTGTCAAATTACTATTCGTTAACCATTGGTGCATACTAATCTGTCCTGGGAGACAGGCAAGAGCAGTACCTGTCATTGTCAATCATACCCTGAGGCCCAGGGCTTCAGTGCCTTTCCAGAATGCATACTAGTAAATCCTTAAAACCCACCTGCCTGCCTATGGAGAAGATTGTTAGCTTTATGCCACCATGAAAAAAATACTTGAGATAGATCAAATTATAGGAAGAAAAACTTATTATGGCTTCATTGCATGGTTGTTCAGCTCCATTGTTTGTGAGCCTTGGGATGAAACAGAACATGTTGGGGAAGAGGAGTGTGAATTGCTTACCATGTGAGGACCTATGAGACACAGCCTCTTCCCAACCAGGAAGCAGGCCTGGGTGGAAGGGCCTGGAAACAGGATAGGCCCAGCACCCACTCCTTTGAATTAAGGCCCACCTGCTCATTTGTCAGAATCTTCCCATAGCTTGTCAACATAGATAACCATAAAAGAATTACCCTGTTGATAAGAGGCCCAGGATCCAGTTTCATCCAGACATACCTCCTTTGTACTTTGCCACACTAGAGACCAAACCCAACAAATGGGCCTTGGTGGGACATGTCAAATCTGAACCATAATACCTTAAGCCCTGATATTTCTGAAACCTTGGTTTTTAAATGAAGCTAGCTTATTTCATCGGGTGGTAAGTTTTTAGATAACTTCTAAGCTTCATCTTCTCACCATAACGATTGTTTCAAGAATGATTAGTGTTTTGTTTGTATTATTATCTGTCACGATTGCTTACAGTTTTGAGCAACATATGTACATAGCTTAATGAACTGTTATTTGCAAAGAAGTTAGTTTTTAAGCACAGAAGACTATCAGCTGGTCCATATATCATAATTCATTTCTGCTCCAAGACTGAGTGCCGGAAATCTGTGTAACTACAGTGAGACTGTGTCATGCTGGTTACAGATTGAGTCTCGTAACTCAAGTTGGTCAGTCATACAGAGATGTATGAAAGAGAAAGAATACAGACTTTGACTAATTTTAAGTATGAGTTATTTTGCATTCCTGTGGGTGCTATGTTATGAAAATTCAAATAAAAATGTGTCATTGAATTTTTTTTAATTTTAATATAGTAGCATTGTCAGTTCAAGTACAATAAACCTTTAAGCAAGTTTCACAAATACTTACTCTGTCACTCTGAGACATTTTTACTGTTCGATTTCGCTTCTGTCTTTAGGTGGAGCTGATGAAGTTAAACAAGTGTGATTTTCTTACAAAAGCACATGCACATTCTTATAGTATGAGAAAGCATAATTAATAGCTAATTAGGATAATGAAAGTTCTATACACCAGATGTAGAGAAGACCTCACGGAGAATTAGTATGAATTAGATAACATGTGATTCGGACAAAGCAAGCTTGTGGAGAAGAATTCGAACAGTGGACACATTGAGGGACATTCAGTGACTGGCTAGTTCCTACGCCCAGGGAATAATTTAATCAGGTTCCCTATTGTCATACTCAGGGCTTCAAGCTGTTTCATTTTCGCAAGTGGATAACTAGGGATTTGGGTTTTGATTTGCAGCATTACAATATGGTCAAGGTTTCCTGTTGATATGATCATTTGCCAAGTAATTTAATAAAGAAACATCTGGAGATAAAAGAATAAAAAAGTAGTCAGGTATCTTGAACCACTTAGTCCAGTCTCCACGTCTTTCAGGTGCCATTGATCTATAAATCTAATAGTTGGTACAATGCCATTTTCTATATAATGTTCTTTGAGTGACAAGAGGCTCACTTTCTTATGCTTGCAAATGTTTCTTGGCATTTATTAAGCTAAATTTTAGTATTTGATTGGCTGAGTTGCTTAGCTACATTTGAAGTAATATATATGTAATATTGTAAAAATCTATGTGTTTTGTATATATTACGTTATCTAACCATCCCAGCGCTATGCAGACATCACGGCCATCATCGTTGCCATTGTCATATTCAGATAGCATCACAAAACATAAATAACCTGGCCTCGGTTATTTCAGTAATAAAGGACCTGTTACATGGTCTCTAGGTTCTTATCTTCCTGAAGTAAATAATTCAGTTGAGAGTGGAGACACATTAAGTAGAAGTTTATTTAATAAAGTAAAGCAAGGTTTTCACTCCAGAGAGACTGGAGAAAGCTCCCCCAAAGGAGGGCTAACTGCACAGATCTTTAAAGAAACTTTTATGAATCTTTAAGGCACGGGTGCTACTCAAGGGTAAGGTGAGTAACTTTTCCCATCACAAGTCATGGTGGGCCTGATTGCTTTCTAGAATATTTTTCCCATGATCCTCTAAAAGCCCATTTTAGAGATCTAAACCATGATATAAATGACATCACTATGAATCCAAGGTCTTTTCATGATAAAGACCCTTCATGACTTCACACATGTAGAACAATGTCCTGGATTCCTAGTTCTCATATGGTGGTATCAGCTTATCTCTATCACCAGGAACATTTAACCAAGGGGCATTCTAATGTCAGTAGACATAGCTACCAAGACTCAGCTATCAATCTTACATCTAACCCCTGTTTCAGACAGCTTAAGGATCTCATGACTATCAGTTAAGACTTTTTTTTTCAATTGAAGCTTTATCATGAAAACTGTGGCCAGGGTTTTGCTTACCTTTTCTGCTACAAACAGGAGTTCTACCTCTCCTGCTCTTCCTAACAGAGCCAAGTTTTGGACACTTAATTTCCTACCTTTAGACCAGATATTTTTTAATCATAATATATGAGTATCCATAATGTAAATGAAACAGTTCAATCCTTTCTATTTGTAATTGTGGAGATGACAATGAATAGAAGCAGTTTTTTATGTAGTATGTGCTGCCTTTGTAAATTTATTAAATTAACTTTATCGTGTGAGCAGTACAGCAGTAATCTTAAAAATAGGTTTTATCCTATCCATTAAATACTATTGATTGCTAGCTCATGAAAATCAAGCCATTTAATTTGCTTTTAGGAAGTGAACTCTGAGCCATGTTCCAATAGTGAAATGACCATAGAGAAAACCTGGACCACTGATGTGACTCAGTAGGAGAATTATGAGTCTGCTCTTAGGAACTCAGATAAAAGACTTTAGGTTCATGTGGGGAGACAAGGAAGCTGCGGAAGAATATATATGGAGCAGATGAAATTTTCAATGAATATATGTTGCTGACACGGGCACACCCATGCCAAGGACCCAATGCTTCAGGCTCATGGAAATGGCAAAGACTTCTTTATGTGGGTCAGACTTGGAACTAGCAAAACCTCCCACTGGTCCAAGGGTGAATGCTGATAGTGTGTGAGCATATGAGTATTTTTGTACAATTGACTGGTGTGTGTCAAAACTAGCAACAGCAACTTCTTCCTTATGGATGTTCCCAGCCCCAACCTTCTGGCTTTCAGAGACCTCTTACCAAGACTCTCTGCATCTGTGCTATGTAAGTGTACTGAGGTTCCCAGTTATTGTGTGGTTGGCCCTATGCCATCAACATGCACAGACCCCGTGACCCAGCTTTTCTGTCTGTGTGTCTGCACTTTCTTCATTTCCTCACTGTACATATTATGTCTTTCCTTGGAACTACTCAAGGATATGGCAGGAAAAAAAATCTGTTTGTCCTGGGTGCGAATAATTTAGTTCTTGAATAGCCTAGAAAGAATTTGCTGGATGCACTCCTTAAAATGGAATTCGTAAATTGACAAAGATGTAGGAAGTTTGCATCCATCTGAGCTTGATGTTTAAATGGTCCATAGGATGGACACTAAAATTTGTGCTTGGTTCTTCAAATTATTTTCTAGATATAGTAACAATTCTATGCCAAGGAAAATGAAGACTGCATGGATTTTCTACATGGTCCCGATGCTTGTGGACTTTATGTGTCAATCAAAACAAGCTCCCTCAAATTCTGAGATTGTTCTTATTTTAGCTTTTGTTGAGCTTAACATGCCTGTGTATATTGGGCTTTAACATGTCTTATTATGTGTAATGCTCAGTTGATTTCTGTTATAAATGCTCATGGATTGCTTTGTTCATGAGATCACAGTAGCCTCTCCAGACAAGGACAAAGGGGTATCTACCTGTCCATGTGGCTTCAGATATTCCATTTCTGTCTAGTGAGTCTTGAGCAACTGACACCAGGATTTGTATCTTGCCTCAATCCCATGCATGTGTTTTCAATTCCAGAACAACTTTTGAATCTATTGTGGTGCTGATTTCAATGAATCCTAAATGCTTTCAGGTTATTTCCACTTGATTATATTATTTCAATTTATACATATATCAGGTAATAAATTTGATAATAAGATGGCATAATTTTAAGATTATGTCTATTATTAACTATTAAATTATTATTAAGTAAATAATCAAATGCAAATACAATAAAACGTTCAAAGTTCATGAGAAATGTTTCTAAAAGAGATAAAACGAAAATATGCCTGTAGAAATTAAGATTAAAATATAAGCAATGATAATATTGAAATGAACCCATGAGCTGTGTCATTGAGGACATAGGAAAATGAATGCTAACCTAATCATTCACAAGTGCTATCATTCACATAGCAGTACGAATAGACACAAGAAGGGCTTTGTATAGATCAGGAAGCCACTACTTAGAAAGAACCCTTTACAAAGCAGAATGAATTTCTTAATGGTTACCACTGCTGTGAGATTGATGATAACTCTATGAACTCTCTCTTTTTGTGTATCATAATAGCAAGCAAACAATAAAACTATCACAATAAGAAAATTCAATTAACTTAGATGTACAAGGTTAACATTTTTCTTATATTATCAGCCATGATGTTAGATAATATAAGGGGAAAGGGTCATTACAATAAATAACAAAGAGAAAATTTTATAATAAATATGAACTTGAATGAATAAAACTGAATACAAAGTCTACTAAAAGATTTAAAAAAATCTTATTGAGAGATGTTACTTCTTTGTAAGGATATAGGGTGATATTAAATGGAATAAAAGTATTGAGGAAGATTTTGAAATTATTTGCTGAGTGTGTACATGAAAATGTTTATATTACAACACCAAACTGCAGGAATTTTAGAGAATAGCAGGGAAGGGAAAGTGCTGACACGCAGACTTCTGCAAATATTATTATATAGTAGCCATTTTCCTTTTTATACTCTTTGTTGTCACAAGCAGTAGAGGTATTTCTATAGTGCAAAAAGAACACAGAATCCAAGCTTTTTGAAACAATTCTGTTAAAACGTGGGTTTTGTATCTGTGTCTTGTGTCTCATCTGGACCTTTAGAAGGAGGGAGTTTTCTGTATCTATTCTTAATTAATCATATGGTTTTTAATTCCCTTAGAAAGACGTACGAGACATCCTCACGCCTGTTCAAGTCGAGGCCACGTACCACCTTGGGCATCATGTGATTACCAAAAGGAACACAGAGGAATTCCCACCACTTCAGCCAATCCTCCAGCAGAAGAAAGAAAAAGACATGATTAGGAAAACGGTATGAGTCTACTTTTTGCATTTGAAATATTTTGTAATCTAACTGAAGAATTTTTAAAATATGACAAAATTAATTGAATTGTTTAGAAATTTTGTGGGCTGTTAATTATTAATGAAAATAGATTTAAAATATGTCTCTCTTGGTCTCTTCTCTGTCTCTGTTTCTCTGTCTCTCTGTCTCTCTCTGTCTGTCTGTCTCTCTCTCTCTCTTTCTCTCTTTCTCTCTCTCTCTGTCTCTCTGTCTCTCTCTGTCTCTCTCTCTCTCTCTCTCTCTCTCTCTCTCTCTCTCTCTCTCTCTGTGTGTGTGTGTGTGTGTGTGTAATAGTCCCTTTGGGATATTCAACTGAATATGTTTGAACTTGTATTTAGCCACAAGAATACCTTCTTGTTTAAAAATATTTATGTAAAATGTATGTAAATTTTTCTTTCCTTGAAGAAATGTTTGACCTCGGTTGTGCTGAGAGTTAGTTACTTGATGTCACGCCATGAGCCCACCTCCTACTTTGTGTGCATGATCCCTCCTTTATTGTATCTTTCCCCTTCTTCACCTGTTTCCATCACCGTGAACTATTTCCTTTCTTTGCTTTTACATAGTGTATCCCCTTACGTCTTCCTGAGTAGTCCGTGCACACTACAGGGTGTGCATGGATCCTTTTAAATGATTAGTAAGCTGAAAGAACTTCATGACAGGCTACCATTTAATATCGTTCAATGTTTCTACAAAGCTATGCCTCTCACTTTGTATATATAGCTATAGTCTTGGATTCAATTCAATGCCCATCCCTGTGCTAAGACTAGGTAGATGTTGGACTTCTGGAGAAAGTGGGGGAAATCAGATTAAGGATGTTTCTGTAGCTGATATTCCAGATGGCTGCATGGTGTCTTTAATATAATTTCGCAAAGCTTTTTTTTTTTTTGACTTAACAAATTTAGTCCTGGAATTTACTAGAGGGACTGAGCTTCCTTAGCCCTGAAACTATGAATTTGAACTCCTGACTGATTCTCAGATTGAACCTGGGAGGAGGCATCAGTTATAATTTGAAGTGGAATTTTTATATTTGTCAAGCACAGACACCTTATTCTTTAAATACATCGAAATTAAGATAAAGGTTGTAATGTTCTATTTCCAGATAAACTTTGCAAGGTTTTGTGCCCATGAAAACTGTTCTGCTGATCTGCAAGTTTCTGCAAAAATTGGATTTTTGAAGTAAGTATAGTTTTCTCATTTTCCCTCAGAAGTGCATAGAGAGGAAGTGCACATGGGTCCAGTGAGAGGGGAGCTAACCCACGATTGTTGTCGTCATAAAAGCCAACAAAGCGGAAATGATGCCTCTGTCACTCATAACAGATATATATTTGAGTATTAACATTTTGAAAGAACGGAAGCCTGTGAGTGACCCTGGGGTTCTCTGAAGTAGGCTTTCATTTCTGTTTGTACCTTAGATTTCAGGATTTAATTGTACCTTTGGGAATCATTATCATGGTCATAATTATGTTTCAACATTTGTTGAGTGCCTGGTAGTAAGAGTTTTACTGGAAAAAATGAACTTTATTACATAGAGGTTAGTATGTTTTATGGGCTATGCAACTCAAGCTGATATGCAAAATAATACATTTTGACAAATTTGAGAGACATAAACTTACTTTTCTAAATTCACAGGATGATAAACCGAGTAATAGAGTACAACATGCCTAGAATAGCATCTGGCATACAGCAAGAACTAGATAAAAAGGGATGTCTAGTGTTACTTTATAGTGGACAGTAAAACACTGCAACTTTGTATCACGTAGCGATTACCTACATTCAAATTTTTTGTATATCTGTGGAAACAAAAGAAGGATAAGGATGTGGCAGTGTCAGGGGAGAATGAGAACTGGTCCAGGAGGGGGACATAAAGGAAGCCAGAGCCATTTGGAGCAAGTTCAATTCAGTGGATGTACTGTCACATTTTATGTCTACTTAACACAAGGAGGAGTCATCTGGGGAAAGCAAACGCCAGTTGAGAAAATGCCTCCACCACCTGGCCTGTAGGCAAGCCTGTCGTGTGCTGTCTTAACTGACTGATTATTGAGATTGCTTAGCTCACCCTGGGCAGTGCCATCCCTGGGCTGGTGGCCCTGGGTGCTATAAGAACACAGGCTGAGCGAGCCGCTTCTCCTTCATAGCTCTGCATTGGTTCTTCCTTCTAGGTTCTTGTCTTGAATTCCCTAGATGATAGACTACAAGCTGTAAGACAAACTTGATTATGGTCATGGTGTTCTATCACAGCTTGCCTAGGGGAGAAGAAATGCAAAATTCGCAGAATAAACCACTGAATATCAAATGTCAGGAATCCTGTCATTTAAAGAGGTTAAGGACGATAGGAACCCTTTTGAAAACTATAAATGATCTTCAGGGAATTAAGTCCTGCTAAGCAGTTGGAGATGTAAAAAGGTGGAATCAACATTAATGTTCCTTGTCAGCATAAGATAACGCAATGATGGGAAGGGCCATGGAGTTTGCATCTAAAATGCAGAAGGAAAGTGTCAGTGGCAAATTTTAAGATAAAATCTCAGGGCAGTAGTAGTCAAGTGGCTGGGTTGGTGAGAAAGACAAGAAGGGGATACTGGGCACAAGTGATAGGTTGTTTTTACATATTTCTTCTTCTTTCCTTACTCCCTCGTTCCTTTTCTTTCTTTCTTTCTCTTCTGTTTCTTTAGTTTTTATTTTATTTAGTATTTTTTCAGACAGAGTCTCACTAGGTAGCCCTGGCTGTCCTGGAATTTACTCTAGACCAGACTGGACTTGAACTCACAAAGATCTGTCTATTTCTGCCTCCTAAGCGCTGGGATTTAAAGTGTGTGCCTAGCTTTTCTAAGTTTCTTAGTGGAAAGGCATAGCACATGCAGGTCAGAGGCCAAGAAAGGCTAAATCTAAAAGGGTAACCTTTGCTCTCATCCCAAAGGATGCTTTCCAGGTCCTTCTTGAGCTTCCTCTGAAGCACCTGGTAGCCCTTCACGCCATCTGCTGAAGCTCCCTTCTTTTCAGCTCCTTGACAACATCCTGTGTGTTTCCTCTTCGAGCCTCACCTCAACTGTGTTCAGATCATCTTCGATTCCCATTCACGGTCACCTCATTCACTCATAGCCATATTCTTTCTAAGTAATCTTACAGCTGTGACTTCTCCTGATCTTCCCGCATTGCCTAAGCCTAAATTAGTACCTTGCAGCATCACATCCCATGGCCTGCTGTTTGGCAAGCACTAGAACCTGTAGATTGGTTCTGATTAGTCATTAACAAGAAATGGTGTGACCATTACTTAATTGCCTGAGTGAGAAACCGAGATTCAACCTTTTGTCTATATTTTTATTCTTGAGATCCTATAGGTAAACTTTTCTGTCCCGCCAGCTAACTCCCTAAAATCCACACAGAGACTTAATATTAATTATAAATGCACAGCCAATAGCTTAGGCTTATTTTTTAGCTAGCTCTTACAACTTAAGTTAACACATTCTAACACCTATGTGCTGCCTTAGCCTCATTTATGGATATACTTTACATCTGGGTTGCAACTCCTGCAACTCTGCCCTTCTTGCCAGTGTCCTACTCTGGCTCGCCTGCCCAGTATCTTCCTTCCTAGTCACAGGCCAGTCAGCTCTTTATTAACCAATGAGGGTAATACATATTTACAGTATACAAAGATTGTCCCACAGTAAGACCCTGCCAATTATTAAAATTTGAAGTAGTGCCACTTAAAAGTGCTATTTATCATTCCCTTCTCCCCCATCTGTCCTTGTTATTTTACAAAGCGCGTACCTAGTAGCCTGCTTGGATCCTCTAGGCTTCTGGCTTCTCGGCACTGTCATTAGTATTCTGACCTTTATGTGTCCAGGATGACCTAACATCTATAGTGGTGGGACAGGGAGCCCTTAACTTGATGGGCAAATGAACCCGGTACTTAGAAATGAAATCAGCTGGTCACTCCAGTAATTAATAAACCGTGACTAGCAACTGCTGTGTGCACAAGAGCATAGCATGAAACAACTTAGAGCTTCCCGTTAGTGTATTTGTTTTCTAAGATGTGCGTGGTCTTGGGTATATCAGAAGGCTTTGATAAAAGTTGTGCAGGTGTGTCTGTAGCACAGGAGAGTTTCTTAACCGCTGACGGACAGTGGTTTTCCGCACTCTGTGTCTTCCTGGTCACCTTTCACCGCAAATCATCCGGCTGATGAGAAAATGAGATTTCAAAACTTATGTGAAAAAAGTCACTAAGAATGTTTTCAACTCATTCAAATAGCGTGGAATTATTGATTCAGGTTTTCTATTTTCTTGCAAAAAAAATTGCCTACTTACCATTTTTAATTGGAAGTACTTTTCCAATTAAATTCAAGCCTGTGGTTTTTAAACAGTAGCTGGCCAAGTATAAGCTGGTGTTCCTTAGCGTGTGATCTCAAGGCGTATCCAGGATAATACTCACAATGCCTAATGGAAATGCTTATCCTGACACCGCAGAAAGTCCTTGTTGCTGTCTAGGGGACCCAAGGAAGAAGCCTCCACCATGAACAGAGCTTTAAGCTCACTTTTTAAAAGTTGGTCAAGAATTCATACATTCATACAATGTGTTTTGATCAAGTCCAACCTTTCTTCCCCTCCAACTCCTTCTCTACCCCTACCAATATTTCTTTAAAATTTCATGTGTTCTTTGTTTTTTTAACCCATATAGTCCACTTTGTGCAGCCAATGTGTGCTTGGGTGTAAGGCCACAGACTGGAGCATGGGCAGCTCCTCAGGGGCCGCATTGCTAAATGTGTTTCTCCCTCTCTGAGTAGTTGTTTTTGTTTTTATCAGGAGCTCCTCAGCTGGGGGTAGGACTTTGTGTTCCCACTTTCCCCACCCATGTCTGGCTCACTTTTGTGCATTTACTCATGGCTGCTGTCAGTTCATACGTGCAATTGCCCTGTGCAACCCAGAAAACACGATTTATCTGTAGTCCTCCACTGCCTCTGGTTCTTAAAGTCTTTCTGCACTCCCTGTTATGAAATTATTGGGAGAAGATAGTGTGATATGTATGTCTCATTTAGGTCTGAGCAGTCTGCCATTCCTTATCCTCTGTAGGTTGTGAGCTTCTTTGTTAATCACCACCTACTACAAAAGAGACTTCTCTGATGAAAGTTGAGAGATGCTCTGATCTAGAGGTATAAGGATTTGTCCTTTGAGAATTTGTTAACTACTATGTATATTTAGCAGAATAATAGTAACAGGTTCTCCCCGAGGTCATATGGTATACCTAAGCCTTGGGTCTTGGCCCCAATGACAGACTTAAGTTTCATGTTATGAAGTGGGCCTTCAATCCAATCATAAGATGGTTGGTTACTCCCATAATACCTGTACCACTATTGAATCCGTAGGTGTGTCTTACCAGAGTGGTCCTTATTGAAGTATGCAGGTCTCGCAGATGGGTAAGACCGATCATTACTTTTCTCCTGAATAGCATGCATAGCGTTTTCTGTCATGAAAGCTACCCAATAGGGATGAGGCTTCCAGATCAGGACCAGCTTGATTTCTCCATGTTCTATGCCTCTTTTGCAAGAGAGTCTTACTATCAAGTTCTAGATGATGACCAGGAGAAATGATAATACCCTGTAATGTTTTAGGGCCTAAGGGACCCCACTGACCAACAACTCCATAAGCAATAGCCTACTTCTGTCATTGAGACTTTATTTGCTAGCCTATGATTTGTCTGCAAAAGGAATTGCCTCCTCATTATAGGATAATGCATTTCATACATTTGTATGAGTATACACATCAGGAAACATCGAGAGTAATCGGTTTTCATTTGGCTTTTTAAAGGTTTTCAGTGTTATCCCTCTTTTACCCTGTCCTCTCATCCTTGACCCCTCTTGTTTAATAATTTTCTACAAGTTTTTCTCACACTGAAACCAGGGGAGCGATGTAATGATGAAGACTTTCCTATGGGAGGTCAAGCTGATCAGGCTCAACTCTCCCATCCACCTGATTAACAACAGTGTACCCTTTTGAGAGAAGCTTATTAGCCTCGTCTTTCTCTGCTATAAAAGAGTAGAAATTGTGCCTTCTCTATAAGATGTTTTAATTTTTAAAATGCACTTGATACAAAGCCTGGTACATCTGAGAGTTCACCAAAAGGTATCGCTGTTTTTAGTATGGGATGAATTCCACCGTAAAGGAGTAGGCACCAGTCCGTTTGT